ACAACACTCTTATCTGCTCTGAGCCTCAAGTTCCGAGATCAGAACCGTCAGCTAGTTGTTACCCGGCACGGTGTCCGCCTTGTTTCAAGGCTTTATGTGATCTTACAGTTCAAGTGTCGGGTTGGAGGTTGTAAGTTTTGCTCAGTGCAAAAAATCATGATTGTGGTATTTACCTCTGGCGCAGATTATCACATGGTGTGCACTTAAAACAGCTTTAAAAATGTTCATACGAAATTGATTGATCTATTAAATCTGGCCCTCTTAGTGATCCGTGTGACAGCCAATGGATAAAACAATAATCTGTCATAAAAAACGCTAATATTCAAATCGATTCCTTGATGCCTAACTTCATTTCATTTCAACGTGGATATATGGAGATCCTTACTTCCTGTGTATTCGTCGAAATAGGAACATCTACAGTTGAACGACATAATTTAGACATGACCAGTAAATCAGCAATTACCAGTATAATCTGTACATTCGTTTAAGAATAATATTGATTGTTTGTCTGTAATTCATAATGTATTTTCCTTACTTCCTTGCGACTGAATCTCATAGTAGAACCAGCTTAACAACAATTCATTTCCAAGTTTAAAATACTCAGGTGTTATCTGTCATGCTGTACTGAAATTTTACATTCGACCTGAAAGCGTATCTTGTTGCCTTGAGAAAAAAGCGAAAAGCGACTGTTGAAAGTATTCCCCAACCCTTCAGAATTGTGTTTGTGAATTGGGCAACTCTATGATTGTTTGCAGTTGGTTAATGTGAAGTTTCGCGTTGGTGTTAGATGGTTATCGGAACTAGAGTAATTTGCTTTGACTTCCCTATTCACTTATAATCACACTTTTCGCCGATGAACGCTGAAGTGAAGAATGTAAGATAGTGTTATTGGAGTAAGATTATAGTAGAATGAATCAACGGTCAAATGATTCATTGAATATCCACAAATTTATCACCATCAGCTGCAATGTTCGAACCCCCTGGAAATGTTAACTGGTGAACAGAAGACTTAAACCACCACTGGTTACCCGGTTATTTCCATGAATCTCAAAGTGACATACTCCATCTCTAATTTCACTAGGATCCCATAGTCCTTTGTTCGCTCACGTTCGGAGAGCTACAAAAGAGGAAACAGCAGGCAGGTTTTACAGGAGATCAAGAGACATAAGAAAGCTTTGTTGGCTACTGGTGCGAGGTAGAATATCTCCAGTGATGTTATGAAACATATTGCCGAATGGGTGATCGAGTGAGTGGATATGCCTTCAGGGTCATCTATCCGGTGATTCCTAACCCGTCACACACCATTTTTCTAACGTTTACTTTTAAATAAATGTGAATATGAAATCCCATTGCAATCTGTGCAACGGTAGTGGGAAAGGTACCAATGAATAGGATTGTAATCATTACCGTCAGAAATGAAAATAATCCTATTTCATTAGAATATAAGTGTTACTTTTTCACTCACTTTTGACGACAATTCAAACGACGCCGGTCTGCTTTTGCTGGAAATTTCAGATGTTGATACTGTGTAATTGGTGCTGTCTTGGTCCACGGGAGTTTGTTGACGGTTGCTTGCGGCGTCTATGGTGAGACACGGGACAGGTGTTCTAGTTTGGGCCTCAACAGTTACCTGTTCTTTTGGGATTACGGGTTCCTGAACAGCAGTGGAATTGCGAGTCTTTGTAGAATCATCTGCTTCTCCAGGCTCTCGGGCATGAACTAGAGAAACGGGTTGTGTTGGACGGTGCTGCCGAGAAATGAAAGTGACTGTTAATCAATGAGGAATGTAAATCGCAGCAACCTGAATGCAGAACGAATAGATTAGGCAAATGGCGGGATTGGGGAATACCAGAATGACGGAAATCACATTCATTCGAGTAGTAATAACTCCAATTCGTTTGATAAAGCAAGCGCGTTTCTACTTTGGAAGTTATAAAAAACATTTCAGTAACACTACGGTGATAGTAACACAATTAAACCTGAAAGTATCACACACGCACATCGGTACAACTTCTAGGCATCTACAAATGAAACGCTGATATTGACAAATGTGCTGAGCTCTTTTACATACGATACGATAAGATGTTGATTAGAAACTTAAACGCAATATTTGAGCGATGATTAGACAGTTAAACATCGTTCAGTAAGTGACTTGATTTCATGAAATTTGTCTCTGATAATGCAATAAACTGCTTTTACGTAATACAGTGAGTGCATTGTTAGTCTGAATCAAATCTCGAATTATCTGAGGATCAGAAGATCCCAGATGATACATCCAACCACAAAGCTAATTACATTGTTTCATTTACTTTGTATAGCAGCACATTCCCATTCCTGAAATAAAACCGAACTGGTTCTTGTCAAATCAGGCTATGGAAATTCGAATCAGTCGAAACGACGAACACCCACCTCATAGAATCGTCAGTCTGCCATTACAGTCTCGATTTTCAGTGCATCTGATGAAATGCTCAAAAACGCGTTTACCTTCCTCCAGAACACGAAGCGGAAGTACACACTTGGTATTGTAAAATAGGATGGATTGCAACTGAAGATCAGATAAAAAAGTATTGTACCGAAGCGCTGAGTCAGGTTTACTCATCTTACTCAAGATAACCTGACAAACGGCCGGAGTTATTCGACCGAATCCTCCGGTTTACGGAATGCCACTAGACGAAAATCCAAAACAGTACACCGTGTAAGCCATTCCTTCATTCTACTAGAGTATAGATTTTTTAACTCCGGTAACGCATGGCACATTCCAATTGGTTTGTTCGTTAGAGGATAATTTGGAAAGGGTTTTAGTGAAAAGCCTTCCCACCTGAACCAAAAAACATTGCGATGATTCTACCACTGTGTATTATGAGACTATTGTTTGAGCTTACTGTGATAATCAAAAAAGTACTGAGAGTAGAAATACGAGAAACCCTAATGTACTGGTTAGAACTGGATTGGCTTCAACCCAAACTGCGGACACCAAAGGATTACACGAGGAATTGATAGCAGCAAATGCTTTTATTTATTGATGTAATTAGAGCATTTTTTCTAGAAGGTAATAGGCCATGTGATTGGTTTAAGGGCCGTCGTCCAATTACGTAACCGTTTGCGCCGATGCATCACATGTACAAACTCGGATGTCATGTTGGCCCGGTGTACCATTCGCCGAGCTTCCTGAGCGGTGATTGGATGACATGAACCTGTACCTGGTCGTGCATGGATTGCGGTCACGGAAGTCTGGATCACCACACTTACTTTGTTGAAATCGGCACCAAATAACTCACAAGGTGTATAACAATGGGATTGGATAAGATTAGGTTCATTCACAATAAAAGCCTCTCCATAATTCTCAGATGTGCATATGAGATAGATATTCGAGAGGCTCAATTTTATCTACATCTCATCTCTCATGAGATACCAGTTAACCATACAGGATGAGTCTCAACGACCGGAAAATCCCATGATATGACTTTAGAAGGGCTCTTCAGTCAGGGGCTTGAATCACTGTCGAAATTTTTATCGTGTTCTAAAGCCCAAGGAAATTGAAAGCCTGAGGCGAATAAAATTTTTGGGTCACATATACGTGTCACAAGCAATCTTTAAGTTCTACGAACTAGGTACAGCTACAGTTTCAAATTCTGCGGTAAATAATTGAATTTATTTCTGGTAAACTTTATTGCCGACATCCGTGCGTCAATGATGAAAAAAACACAACCACCGAATTACAGGAAGAAACTGAATTTCACAGTATGGAAAATATTCACCGTTATCCATGTTTTCGATCAGATGAATTATGATTTGACTAAATGCCGGCAGAGTTACAAATTTTCCAATCCCATCAGCCTTGAGGTAGTAGCAGTAGTTGTTCTTGGTACACGGGAAGAGGTAGGAGATAGATGAAAATAATGCTCAGGTATAGAAGGATAAATCTCTCATATGTATGTATGAATGTATGTATGTATGTTGGAGGCCGGTCACAATCATACCAGTCCCCAAAGCATCCAAATCTTCTATCACCTTCAAACGTTTTCGCCCCATAGTATTAACATCCTCAGCTCCTACATTGACCGAAAGGCCATCCTCAAACGCCTTCAGCAGTCTATACACATTTCCAGTGATCCGTTACAGCTTGCTTACAAGCCTAATCGATCCACGTTGGACGCAGTCTATACCCTCATTCATTTCATCACAAAGTCTTCAAACAGCTCTGTTAAGTCTGTTCAGTGTGCTTTCTGGACTACTGTTCTGCATTGATTCCATTCCTAAGTTCTTACAAAAACTGGAATCGTTTGAATGCCCCAAGCAGTTGTTAGCTTGGCTGTCCAACTATTTTACCGATAGGGTACAAACCACTAGATTAGAGAAGGCCACATCGAAACCCTTAGTCAACAACTCCGGGGTCCTTCAAGGAGCTGTGCTATCCCTATACTCATTTGCACTTATATTTGTGATATTCTCTGTGTTCCTCCCGCACGAATTTTGAAATATTCAGATGACGTCGTGTTATGCCAACCCGTTTCTGCCTACTCTGATCTAAGCTCCTTCACCGATAATCTTGATCAAATTCAGTCTTTCTCCTCCTCATCGGGGCTAACCCTAAACACCTGTAAATGTGTTGAGTGCTTATATAGTTTCGCACACTCCCCATATCCGACAGACCCCACAGTGATTAATAACGATCCTTTATCCAGGGTGAACTCTGTCAAATATCTTGGTGTAACCATAGATAGCAATCTTCATTGCTCAACCCACATCCGCAACTGCATTGGTAAACTGCGGCGCCTGTCCTTTCAAATACGAAAGCCCAGGCAGTTTTGCGCATCCCAGTCAGTTACTTCTACCTTTGTTTATCAGTGTGTTTTCCCCATCTTGCTCTACTGTTCCCCAGTTATTTTTCCTGGCTTAGTCAAACAGGATTTTAAAGTCTTACGTCGCTGTCCAACCATTATTAGTCGTGTCTATTCTATTATTGTGAATGAGTTAGCTTTAAAGCTTTCAGAGTATCACATAATTTCCCATGTGAAATTTGCTGAGAGAATTCTCGCAGGTCCCGACCACCCATGGCACGCAGAACTGACACGTTGTCGCTCTCATCAATCGACACGCTCCAAATTCCGTCAAATTTCATCTCGAATTAACGCTTACCGCAATTCACCGTTTCTTGTTCGTCTTGTCATAAACAAAGAGCGGACAATAAGTGAACTCTGTTTCTACCTTGGAATATGAAATGTTCCCATGTCTGTAAAAACCTTTCTACCCGTTGAGTATGTACATTGTGGCGGTTAGCGTATGTGACTTTTTTGACTGAAGTGTGAGATCCAGTGGTTGCAAAAGTTACACACAACATAGTACAAAACAATACAATAAAATAAAATATAGTAAAATACAATGTATTTATGTATGTATGTATGTATGTATGTATGTATGTATGTATGTATGTATGCACAAACAGAGAAAAAGTAGAGTCTAGAAAAATCCAACTACAGAATAATAATCACTAACCCGTTCATATACTGTCATGCTATCCGTTGAAGAAGAGGTCTGAAAGATAATAATGATCAGTCAATACTATTAGGCTGAGTACGTCGCTTTGGTAAAAGTTCACACTAAAACTTACATAGTCTTTTTCACCAGATTGCATGAATGAGAGAAACATGTTTACAGGCATGTTCATACTAGCAAGACACACGGTTCCTGCCTTGGCTGATACTTTCTTAGCTTACTACAAGCACATCTTAAAACGTCATATGTCTTCCAGATGAATATAAAGGAAATTCGCCGTCTAATGATTTGGTATGAAGATAAAGATATATGGAAGAATGGTTATAATTAAACATGAAATCAGAAGAAAACTAGATTTGGATTCATTTTATTGTGGAAATGCGAACAAATTTCTTTTCTATATATCATTTTAGGCATTACCCGATGTACTTGGATTACTCGGCTGATTAATACAAGGCCTGAACTGTTGTTGAATGAATGAATGTGTGTAAACTGTTAACTTGGGGTCAGTAGACTTGAAGTGAACACGATGTGAAAGGTGTTAGGCAAGATTGAATGAAAAGGGCGTGAATGTGTGTGAGAGAGAGAAGACAGTAAATGAGACAATGGCGAAAAATGGAAAAGGTGTCATATAGGAATGTGGGCAATCACTCCTATGGTCATGGTAACAGCATCTTTCGAACCAGATTACTTCGATCGCACAACTCCGACTTTATAATCCTAACTGCTATGGTTTTCGTGGTTTTGAGGATTGTCTTACGTATTCCTTTCGTTTGGTTCTTAGGTGATATGAAGAAAATTCCAATCGAATTTTACGGGCCAACCCTGTGTCCAATGTCGACCAGGTGTTGCAGGATTGAACTGTTCAAGCTTTGTACTGTTCCGTTTCAAATAACGACCGGAATTTGTTCATATAGTCCCATTTTATTGTCTAGAATTGGTGCACATGCCCCCCTCACCATGGATGGTGAATATACCGAACGTCAGTTTGATTTACAAGTGTTTGAGAATGATTATGGTGTATCCGAGTCTAATCAACCAGGAAACTTATCAGATTAGTAGTAGTAGTAGTAGTATCTAGGTCTGGCCCTAAGACGGATAATGCAAACCAGCTAGTACAATTCACACCTACGAAAAGCCCGAATCAGATCACAGAAGTGTGTTGTTCTTTTCGGAAATTATGTACATTAGGATTTTAAAAAAGCTATTTCGTAAAAATATCGCAATGCATTTAAAATGAACCGCAAAAAATTATTTGCAAAACCTCGCATACCTCGAGAGCAGTGTTTGTGTACCTAAAGAAAACCTGTACCTGAATAATGATGTCGAGAAACTCGAAAAAAAACGCACACTACTGATTCAACCTCATCGTTTAAAATCCCGCTTGTGACGTACATCGTACGCATATTCCATTGAACTCAATGTATTGTGTGATCCCGGTGCCTTTGACCTCTGAAATAGTAAATAGAAGCTGTCGGTGGATTAAACGGTAATTGATACTAGAAATAATTAATTGATAAAATAAACTTTCCAAAGAAGCAGAAAATATCCGAGTGATAAGGTCGTTTCAATACAAACTTCATTCCTCCACATCGTTAACATAATACCATTTCGATTTTCCGCAAATTTATGTAACATAGACGTCTTTGTCAAAATAGCTGTACAGTGCTTCCAAGCTTTTCAGTTCACGTTTCATTTACTCTGTACACAACGAATTCCCTTTATGAAATTTTCTACATTATGTAGATTGACGCTAAACTAACCGCAATTGTCAAAACATAACTCAAAATTAGGATTAGATGATTTCAGCGATAACGAGTATCGAATTCGTAGTCCATAATCAGAAAAGTGCATTTTTGAAAACATTCTAAATTCCTATACAATTCTATTATTATCATAAAATTATCAGTATATTTCAGCTGTCCTCGTAACGTTATTTCTATTGCAGTTGGTTTGATAGAAATATCTCATTCCGTTCAGGATAAATGGCCCCAATGGTCATTTTGATTATTCATTACTTGGAGGTGCTTCAGTACTGATATCACAGAAATGGTATATAGTCTGTGCAGAAGAAACGTAATTTGAAGCTGGTCAAGAATGATG